AATTATAAAACAATTGTGTCAAAATATAAATAATAATGTGAAAAAAACATCTTGAACATTCCATCACTATTAGAGTAGCCAATTCCCTCACCTAACATCTATAAGCAAAACAACTAAGCTAAAATACGAACATTTCAATCAAATTGATTGGAACCCAAACTTCAACAACTACCTACCGAAGCTTAGTAAAAACAGTTTGATTCTTCAATCCAACAATATTCTTAGCAGTAGATAGTCGAACCAACACTCAATTTAAACCAAAATTCAATCAAGAAGCAAAACTGAAAACAAGAATTAAGCAAATGCTTTGCAAAGTGCAACTAAACGACAACAGCATATGTAGATGACAACATATGTAGATTGCCCCAGCCACAATAAGGAAGAGGAAAGCCTCATATCCAAATAACAAAAGCAACATCAAAATGACAGCAGCATCTAAATAACAGCAACATCTAAAGATGACAACTTGCCAGATTGTGCTTGAAGACAATCTTATTCAAAAGTGTTATTTATTCCTTTGAGAAGTTTAACTTGTTCTTTCTCATGTTTAGTAAATTGTGCTTTAGCTGATTTACTGTTGTTCCTAACTGTGTTCAACTAAGCTAAGGTACTAAGAAACAAGCCTGATTTTCGTCGCAAGCAGTGGCCAACTATAAGCAACAGTGCTAAAGATTTTGTAAAGAAATTACTGGTGAAGGATCCTCGCGCTAGACTTACTGCTGCCAAGGCCCTATGTAAGTGATAGCATTCTGATCTAGCACAACTTTTTAAGTGCTATTTAAGTTTTACTATGACAAAACATGATTCATCAGAGAAGCAGCTCAAGGTCCAAAGATCCATACACTGATTTTGTCAGTTTTGAGTAACCTACTTCTTCATCAGCAATGTTCGGTATTGGATGTCCATTATAGCTGTCAGTTTTGGCTAAATAGCTTCCATGTTTGATTACTTATTGAACAACTTTCAGATATACTTATTTTCACAGTTTTTTTTATTCAATTAGATGTTACTTGTGTTCATCGCCTTAAATTGTTGATACAAAAAAACTACGTGTTTCAAACTGATATGCTCAAACATTTCAACGCATCCATGGGTCCGTGAAGGAGGTGATGCATCTGAGATTCCACTGGACATTTCCGTCTTATCAAACATGCGACAGTTTGTCAAGTATAGTCGAATAAAACAGTTTGCTTTACGGGCAAGGGTTGAAAAAGGATTTCCTAGTGAAGTTAAAATGAAAATTGTTCAAAGAAATAACCGGGAAAAACATAAGCCTTTTTCAAAACAACAAAAACTCCTACATACAGTTCAGAATGAAAGAATCAAGGCAATTCATTCTGCTAAAAGTACACATACATGAATATAACAGGAATATTGTTGACAGCAGGCTTAATCACTAGTTCTTTACTCAAAGAAAAGGTAAACGAATAGAAGAAATAAACATAAGAATTATTGTTCATTCTATATTCATATGACTAAGAGAAGCAAGGGCTAGTTTTCTTACCTGACAGAACCAAATCTAAGAACACGGATTAATTCAGCAAATAAATGCTCTTTCCCCGACTTTCTGATGTTTTTCAGGACTCCATATCCGTTTAAGTTTTTAACCAGTGAAGAAAGACATTCCTGACAATGTAATAGGAAGAAGAAAAATCCAAAAATATAAATAGACTTGAGCCTATGTTCTCTCTAAAATTCAAGTATATATTTCAAGTCATACCTTGTTAGTATTGCCATTTCTCAAAGAGAGTTCCTCTTCCAGCCAAGTAACACATAAAGGCTGACACAACGTCTGAATGACATCATTAAAAATGGCCAACAGGTTACCACTGCTAAAGGTAACAACATTTGCAGAAATATTATCAACTTGTTAAGGTTCAAACCTGTAATTAAAGACTGGAAAGGAAAGAAAAGTAACAAAAATGGATTATATAACCAACGGTTTTGCTCTTCCGTCTTCCACTCACTGTCGATGTGAAACATTAAAAGGCTAACGCCCCAGTACCAGACAAATTTTGTCATGGACCCCAAATATCTGACTCAAAAATATTGAGTTATTGCTATGTAATACCTGATGTGGCTTCAAGCTGGAATATGTTACCAACCAATTTAGTGCCTACTTCTCTGAAAAGGGATGGGAAAGGATCCGACAAATGCAACACTTGAGAAAACTTACTACACTGGTTTAAAGTAGTAATAGCATCCCACCCAATTAGGCAACTCTTACTAGCACTTGGTAAAACTAGAGAGGAAACTAATATAAGGGACTATTATCCTATTACATAATACAATCCCTATTACATAATCAGTTTTAGAGGAAACATCTCTTTTTTTTTTTTTTTGAATATATGACAGTGAGTTAGTTTGCAACTAGCAAAAGATTTTAGAAACTAGAATAATAGATTTGATTGGGCGAGAGGCCAGCTAAAACTGATTAAGTATTTGCCATGGAGAATTTTTGTGCCATGATATATAATTCAACTACTTTAGTAAATATTGATTATGTTGAATTGGTCTATTCATCTTTATCAAGTTCAAAGGATTTAAAGTTAAATCTTAGACAAACTAATAATTTATTATACTACTAAAGTTGTAGAATACTTACACTGGAGATTCAGGAGAGACGTTGGCTAGTTTCTTTTATTCATCTATCCACCTATCACGAGTGAGCCAAATATGAGTATCTTTATTTTCACTTCTTAATGTCAATGTAATTATCGTTAACGTCAGTAGCACAAGTGAGAGAAGAAACAGTTTCAAGTTAGACAAAGTTCCATTTTGTTGATAACACACTTACTTGGTATGGTTTGTCTAGGAATACGTCGTCTTCAACTACCTACATAACAAACCAAACAATTGATCGATGAGCAAAGAATGGAAAGCCCCTAATTATTCCAGTTACGTTCAACTAGTTTTTTCTATTTGACTTTAATAGCGTACAGCTTGGATGTTTCTATTCTTGGAACATCGATGCCCAATTGATCATTCCAGGAAGCCATACCTTTTTCTCTCCAAACATTATTATCTCAGTTACCAACAAATTGTTAGAACAGTTGAACTAAATAAAGAACCTAAAAATACTTCACCTCTACCGGTCAAAAGAGAAAAATAAATGAAACAAGATGTCCACTTCTCTGAAGAGGACCATCAAACAGTGGCGGAGCCAGGATTTTCTACATCCAAATAATAACATGACTTTTATCAAATTAATGTACACATAATCTATTGTAAATCAATCGACATGAATCAATCCAAAATCTACTGTAAATCGATTGCAAGCGACGGATTTAATATGGGAAAAAGAGAAGTTAACAAGGGAAGAAGATGGACGGCACTACGGCAGGTTGTTGAACAGCGAGATAGAAACTGATTTACTGTAGATCAATCGACCAGCATCAATACAAAAGCTAATGTAAATCGATTGGAAGAAGAGAATTTAATTTATTGTAAATCGATTCTATTGTAAATCGATTGTAAATCGAAGAGAAGAGAATTTACCTGGGAAAAAGATGGGCTACCATTGACGCACTCGCACAGCACTGCCGTTGACGCAGCAGCGAGTTAGGTTTTTCCGGCAGCGAAGTCGATTCAAGAGGGAAATCGATTCTACTGTAAATCGATTGTAAATCGAAGAGAAGAGAATTTACCTAGGAAAAAGATGGGCTGCCGTTGACACGCTGTAAATCGCACTGCCGTTGACGCAGCAGCCTGTTAGGTTTTTTCAGCAGCGATTTAGGACTGTATTATTGTTTTTCGTTCAACTGGGGAGTGAGGTTTTTCGTTCTATTATTTTTTAATTGGGGGAGGGAAACATAAAAGGTATCCAAAAAAATTGGAGGGAAAGATTTTCGCTTTTTCGTGCGGATAGCTAAAATAATAAAAGATTAATTTTAATTAGTAATTTTTAGTGGCTATTATTTTTTATTGCCAGTAAAAGGATATCTTTTACTGGCTAATGCTCATATGCCGCTAATATTTAAGCTTAAAGAATTTATTAGCGACCATTGCCTTATTGCCGCTAAATAAGCCAAAGGCCTTTTTTGTAGTAGTGATATCTGTACTGTTCAACCAACCTCCTAACAAGGTGTATAGCTTCTGTAGTGTAACGACCCGGCATGAAACCAAATTGGTTGTCGCACCGTCATCCTCAACCTTGCTTCAACCACCCTCTCCCATATTTTCATAGTATGGCTCAGTAATTTGATACCCCTATAATTGTTACAACTATGGATATCACCTTTGTTCTTATACAGTGGGACCACCGTACTCCACCTCCACTCATCCGGCATCCTCTTCGCCTTAAAAATAACATTCAACAACCTAGTTAACCACTCCAAACCTGTTTTTCCCACACACTTCCAAAATTCTACCGGAATCTCGTCAGGCCCGCTCGCTTTGCCCCTACTCATCTTACTCATAGCTCCCACGACCTCCTCAACCTTGATGCGCCTGCAGTACCCAAAGTCAGTGTGACTCTCGGAATGCTCCAATTCACCGAGTGCAATATCCCGATCCCCTACTTCATTAAGAAGTTTTTGGAAGTAAGTCTGCCATCTCCTCTTAATCCGGGAATCTTCCATCAATACTCTACCATCGTCGTCCTTGATGCATCTCACTCGGTCTAAATCTCAAGTTTTTCTCTCTCTCAGCTTGGCCAGCCTAAATAACTTCTTCTCCCCTCCTTTCTCCCCTAGTTCCTCGTACATACGACTATAAGCCGCAGTCTTAGCCTCCATGACAGCCAGCTTCGCTTCCTTCCTAGCTACCTTATACCTCTCCATGCACACTCGCCTCTCCCCCTCACCTATGCTCCCCACTAACGTCCGGTACGCCTCCTTTTTCGCTTCCACTTTACCTTGTACCACTTCATTCCACCACCAGTCTCCTTTGTGCCTGCCGGGGACGCCCGTTGAGACCCCTAACACCTCTCTCGCAGCCTCTCTTATACAGTTTGCTGTCGTTGACCACATAGTGTTCACGTCACCACTGCTCATCCAAGCTCATATAACCGACAACCGCCCTTCCAACTCTTGAGCTTTGTCCTTAGTTAAGGCTCCCCACCTGATTCTCGGTCTTTCTCGAGCAGACATCTTCCTCCTCTTCACCATAATACCAACGTCCATCACCAAGAGCCTATGTCGCGTCACAAGTATCTCACCTGGAATTACCTTGCAATCCTTGCACAACCCTCTGTCACGCCTCCTGAGAAGGAGATAGTCAATCTGAGTCTTCGCCACTGCATTTTGAAACGTAACCAAATGCTCCTCCCTCTTCGAAAAGCAAGAGTTAGCAACCACCAACCCAAAAGCCTTAGCGAAGTCCAGTAACGAGGTTCCTCATCCGTTCCTCTCCCCAAAACCGAAGCCTCCATGCACTTCGTCATACACACCTGCGGTCGACCCAATATGGCCATTGAAATCCCCTCCTATGAATAACTTCTCAGTAGGTGCTACCTGACGAATAATCTCATCCAACCCCTCCCAAAAGCGCCGTTTAACCTCCTCATCTAGGCCCACATGTGGCGCATAGGCACTAACAACGTTTACGGTGCACTGTCCAACCACCAACTTAATAATCATCAATCTATCATTCACTTGTCTAACCTCAACCACAGACTCTCTAAGTTCCCTATCCACCAAAATACCCACTCCATTATTACCCTTCTGGGTTCCAGAGTTCCAAAGTTTATACCCATCCGCGTCCCTCGCACTCGACCCTGCCCACCTTGTCTCCTGGACACACCTATATTGACCCTCCTCTTCTTGAGGATCTTCGCCAACTCTATAGACTTACCTGTCAATGAACCTACGTTCCATGACCCAATTCTCAACCGATGGACACCCTTGTTCCCTTTACCTCCCTTGCATCCCAACCCACCTCCTAGCCCCCGCCCTACCTCCCGACCCACCCCCCGCATGCCCCGAGGACATGAACTCACTCGACCATCCCATACTACAACCACTATAACTCCGGCGGACTAGGGGGAATCACTAACAGACACCACAGAACAAACTAGAATAAGCCAAGATGCCACTACAGGCGTCCTAATATGGTGACTCAACTAATTAAAATATAAATTTTCATAAATTTGAATTTGAATAATTAAAATATGAACAAACTAATACTAATGTAATATTCTTTTGTTTTGTAAAAGGCGTGTCAATTAATACATTTTATATGACGAAAAGAATGCTCGGACTCTATCATTGTAAGTGAAGGCAAGCTCTAAAGAGTTCATGAAATGATTTATCATATAGTAATTATTTAAAGCATCAATCCACATATTTCTTAAATGTTGATATCACGGTCATATCAATACAATTACTATAAACTTGTATCCATCTATCGATATATCTATATTAAAAGCACGAAGGCCCTTAGCGAAATATCGTTCGCCTTTTTTACCCTTTAAAAATAGAGTTCATACTAGACTCTAGTAATTAGGAATGATCATTTAATTAATTTTCTAATATTTATGAATAGTTATTTAATTATAACCTTAATACTTAGGACTTTAATTTTAACTAAAATTTGGTTAATATTTTTTTTCTTATTTGAAATAGGTAAAAAGTTCTCATATTTGGAAATTCAAAAGTTGTATATTTCTAATTACACATATGGTAGTCAATATTTATGATTTAAAATGAATATGCACTTTCAAATTTCTATTTTGATATTCTAAGTTTGTTATTAAAGTAAGACTAATAGACCATGAAATTGATTGTTGTAGATGGACACCAATCAAAATATAACCAAAAGGCCTAGAGCTATCGCACATATTATGTGCAGACGACCTTATTCTCTTATTTGAAGTCAATCAAAAAAGTTGCAACTCAATCATAGATACGCTTAGCAAATTTTGTGGCGCCTCAGGACAGTTAATTAACTTCGCAAAATCTAAAATAATCTTCTCAAAAAACACTTCCACTGACAATACGGACCACATTAGCAATTGCTTTTCAATAAGACATGCTAATAATTTTGGAAGGTAACTAGGATTTCCTATGCCTAATGCCAGACCCATGAAAAAAGGTTTTTAATTTATTCTAGGCGTCTGAATACTAGACTAAAGGGTTGGAAAACTAAATTCCTAAATATGGCCGGTAGAAAAACCCTTAGTAAAGCAACCCTAGCAGCAATTTCCAATCATGTTATGCGTATATAAGATCTCCCTAAGACAACCCTCAATAAAATAGGCTCTATCCAAAATAACTTCTTATGGGGTAGCACGGATGAAAAAAAAAAAAGAAATGTCACCTTGTTACATGGAGTAAAGTCACAATGCCAAAAAAAACAAGGAGGCCCGGATATTCCCAATACTCACTAGAAAAACTCCTCCTTCAATGCTGCTCCAGCTTGGCGGTATAAAAAAGAAAAAGAAAAAGAGGCACTATGGATTAAAACATTATCTAGCAAATACGAACATAGGAAAGCCCAACATATAGGTTCTCATGCCTGGAAATTATAAAGAAAGGCTCTACTATATGCACCGCGAATACCAAATGGCTAGTAGGGAATGGGATGTTCATAAATATATGGCAAGACAAATGGATTAACCAACTAGGAAACCTTATGAACTATATACAAGGACCTATCCCAGCCAAAGACTAAACCTAAGCTTGCTAGCATAATCAGAAATGGTGTGTTTGACATTAGAGGCTTATCATTTGAGCTCCCCTCATACATAATCTCCAAAATCAACTGCACCCATATAAAGCACACCATGCTCGCAACAGACACCTATGCTTGGGACTCAAAGGGTCATAATTGTTTCTCCACAAAGGCTGCCTACGAAGAGATCTAAGGCTATAAGTACACTAATGGATAAGATTACTCTTGGTTTTCGAAAATAAACTCCCTAAACAAATTAAAATAGTTCCTATGGACTCACTAAACTCTTGCTCGCAAAAAAAAAAGGGATCTGCCACTTGACACCTGTAGCATCTGTAACATGAAGACCGAGAACATCGAACATATTTTCTTCCGATACTGCTACTCTGGGTCTATATAGGCGCAAACTAAGACTGCGCATAACTTCCCTCTAGACTCGAAGGATAAAGTCGCCATGTTTAATTGGCTTAAAAAATAACTTCCCTCAAGGAAACCTTTTAATAACCTTATCATGTGGGCTGACTTCCTTCATTTTTTTACTATGGTATATTTGGAGTTTCAGGAATGGGAGAATCTTCCAAGGAAACAAACTTCCTCCCTCCATTAGCCAGCCTATAAATAAAAATTTTGAATACATCTTTCTGGCTAAAAACCTAGTAGCAAACTATCCAAGAGAACCATTCTCGTAAAATGGGAGCCTCCCGCTGCAAACTTCTTTAAATTGAATATTGATGGCTCGTGTGCGGGGAACCCATGGGTAGGAGGATTAAGAGGAGTGTTCAAGGATAGTCGCGGCCAATGGATTATGGGATTCAATATGAGAATTCAGCACGCCACTATATACATGGAAACTTTGGGCCTTCTCCATGGAGTCAAAATAGCGCTAGAAAAAAATCTCCTCCCAATAGTAATTGAGATTGACTGCTTAGAACTAACTAATCTTATTATCTCTAACAATTATCTCTATCAAAATTTGATTGACAATTGCAGGTGCCTATACCGGATGGCGAATGATCCTCCCCTAAAGCATGTGTTTAGAGAGGCTAATGGAGTAGCGGATCTATTAGCTAAAGATGGATAAAATCTGGACGTTTTTGGTATTTTGCTTACTTATGTTTCCCCTCCCGCCTTTGTATCCCATGTACCAGAAAGACACAGACTAGGAACTATGTTACCTAGACTGACCTCTCGTTGTAATAGTACTTGGTATGTTTGTGTTTGAATAAAATCCTTCACTACAAAAAAAAATAATAATAAATGTGAGAATAAGAAGAACACCCAAATATGTTGGATTTCATATTTCTCTTAGTACAAATTACTTATAAATGGCAATATTACCATGATTTATGTTGGGTCGAAATCTGTCTCAGCATTTAATGCAAAGCAATATCATAGAAAGAGTCATCCAAGCCGAGGTCCATCAAGAAATAGCAAAATTCGGTCGGGATGCATACGTTGGTCGAGGTCAAGCATTGCAAAAGAGCTTTAATGGCTCGTTTATTAGAATATGATTTCGAAGAGAATATCCCATTAAATATTCTCTCAATGTATTATTAGGGTTTATTGGGGGTATGTCCCATATAAATAGAAACAAAAGGTCAATGAAAGAGGGCACGTAATATTCAATTGATAAGAACACTATAGGATTTCTCAACATTCTTGCTTATTATTTCATACTTTTCCATCAGATCCGAGAATAGCCCGAACATTACAGGATTTATCTGTCATTCATCATTGTTAGGAGGAAAATCTAGTGGATGGGGTTCCATATTCATGAAAAGCCGGGGTTGAAGCATGTTATGAAACTAAGACAACAAGTATTTCTAATAATAAGAAAGAGTTAAGGGCCTCCAACGCCTATAAATAGAAGCTTCATTCATCTAACTCATTTATTATTGGGTGAAACATTCCTCCTATTTACTTAAGTGTCATTTATTATTTTATACTGATAGTTACTCCTTCATTATTGCTCACGTCTCTTTTGATATTCATTAATTGTTATTATTAATTCTCTGCCATATCTACCTATACGTTAACCACTTCTTCGGAGTTTGCATCTAGAGAAATTATTGTTAACTAAGTTTAATCCTTCAATAAACAAATACAATCGTTTTAACCGAAAGTTAACATTTTTTGATCAAACACTTCCCTTGTTAGTTATAGAACATAATTCAAATAGAACTTTAGTGCTTACAAGTTACAATGACATTAGTAAATTTTTCGTTCATAGTCATTATTAAGTTACTTTTGTTAGTTTTTGACTTTAGAATTAGTTTTTTTTTGTGGGGGTGGGGGTGAGGGTTAATAACTTGTTTAATGTATCGTATAATATTGTATTTTACCGTTTGTATCATTTTGGTGTATACAGCGTGGATAAATCGTATTGTTTTCCGTCATTTCATGATGCCATGCACCAACAATATGAAGAATAAAGTTGCAATATTATAAAGAAAAAGTAAGGGACTAGGTAGAATTATTATATAAAAAGGTTGGGTAAAAGATAAAATATGATTATTCAATAATATGGAAAGGCAAGATGAGAGGAAAAAAATATGGATGCGACCAGACCAAATCGGTCGTTTCATAAAGTGGCACTTTTCGTTACTACGTAACTACGAATTTAACGATACGACACAATAAAATCTAAGTAACAATCAAAACAAATATTATATTTAACGGAATAATACGATACAATACAACAGGCAAAAGTCATCCAAACAAGTTGTAAAGGGGATTGATTATATTAACAACTAAACCGTTAAAATAGGTACATGAGATGGTAATATAGTATACCCTGTAGTAGCCATAGATTGTTTACTATTACATTCCAAATTGGTTATTGGAAAAGCACTTTCTAGAATGTCTACCCAAAAAGCTTCATTTGCAAACACCAAAGTAACTGCCAGAATAGTTGTCCTTCCAAAAAAAAAATCCTTACTCCTTCCTTGCTAGTTGGTTAGCTACAATGTTCTGCTCCTTGTAATTGTGTTTCACTATTGTTCTGTCACATCCTTTGGATCAACAACCTCCATTCAAAGATAATAGAGCCATAAGTATCATTTCCCATTTTAAGCATTCTTAAAATCTTTGTATAGTCACTAGCTATTTCTAGTGGTGTTAGGCCTCTTTGCTTTGCGATTTGCAATCCTTGTAGGATGGCAATTAGCTCGTCCTGGATATTGTTGGTATGTGACAAACTTCTTATGTAACCTAGGATCCAATCACCACCAGAGCCCGTAAAGACATTATATCACAATGGTCATTTACAAACAAACAAAAGAATTAAAAATGCCACTCTTTGTTCAT